CCCCCCCCCCCCCCCCCCCCGCGTCATCCCTGATCGCTCGGTCTCTCACGTAGCGCTATCGATACGGACACGCGAGGATCCCGTGATCCTGCGAAACGCGCCGATTGGCCCAATTCATTGTCGCGTCACCGAATTCTCCGGAAACGGGCCCGCGAGAACGCCGGTCCCCTGAGTAGACGCTTATCGAACGACTCGGGCGGTACTCCAGCTAGTGTGCCTCCGTACTCAGGAAAGCTCTACTCCGGTTCACGCGGATTTACGCCCCGTCGTGTATCTGTGCCGCAATTATCGTGCCGCCAGGGCATCTTCGTGCCAGGGTCTCGACGGCACTCGCAACCGCGCCGTTTGCGCGCGATCGCTCCCGCTCTCACGGTGCGGCGACGAACATTTACGCCTCTGAGCGTCAGCATCTTCACCCTCGCAGAGCGAGGAGTGAATGTTACTTAAACTGAAGTGCGCGTCTCCGCGTGACATCTTTGCGCCCCAAGTGCGCTCGAAGCCGTGCGTACTTGCCCGCTTCAAACACGTGCCCGTCGCACATACTAGCCGCGCCTTAAACTGTAAAGGCCACCGGCTACCTGTATATATTGAATAAAACTGTACTGCGCACCACCGAGAGAGAAAATCAGTGTCTGCTCATTTTCCGCACTCCGGATCCCTGTCGGGGTCGACCCGGCCTGCCTTGCTCCAATTGGCGAACCGGAGTTACGCCCGGCCAAGAATCTCGCCAACACGCGCTTAGAGGGTTGGGATACATCTAGTTCTAAAAACAAGCAAATTTATTTATTTTATAATTATGAAGAATTTATTTAATTAAGCTGATTATAATTATGTAATTTGCAGAAAAATGTATACTCTTAGTTTATCTTCATACTTTCTATTATTTTACTGAATTCCAAAATCTTTTTTGGAATTGCCTTCTATCTACTTATCTTCTCTGAGAAAAAATCTGTGCATTAAATATGCCAAGCAGGAATTTTGATGTCAAAGATTTTACTTGTAAGTTTTAAAATTTTACAATGCTTCCAAAATATATCATATTGCTAAAAGCTGGGATGTTGCGAATTATTGTATACCTATCTTTGTAATGACTTTATAATATATTACATTGCAATTTGCAACGTTGCAACGTTGTTGCGATGTCGTTGCAATTATGGTGGAAAGCACTTTCTTTCCCAGATGGACGCAATGTTTTAAGTGGATCTTATAAAGCCGTTTGTAACTAATTTGTAAAATATACCAAAAATTCTCTTTTTATTTTGTTATTTAATAAATAACTATAATATCTGCAGATACAACTTATGCACAACCAAAAACGAAATGAGCTATGTTTACAGCTAAAGACAACTGTCAAATTAATAAATATATATAAATAAAATATAATTTAATTCCTTCCCCCGAGACAAAAAGATAGTTTTCGGTATATTCAAACACATCAACTGTGTGTCCATGGTGCATAAAAAAACGTGAATATAAGTAAATCAAATTTTTTTTAAATTACAATATATATGCAAAATAATTAAAAGATTCTAATTATTACGTATTGATAAGCACATTTATGATCAAAATTACAAATGACTGTTATATAGACTTCCTTTAAATTATTAAATTTTTGTTAGTTATTGCTTGTTTTATCATAACATTTAATTTATAAGTTTTAGTATTTTAATAACTTCTTGAATGTGTACGTACTCATGAAGACTCTGGATTATTGTGTCATGTTTTTTATTCAAATGTCGTTTTAAATAGACATAATCCTTTACATATGATATTACTGTACCGCATTCATTACATTTTGCCTTATGTTCTGGTAAGTCCGAGTAATATTGCCGTAGCTTTTCAGATAGTGTGAGGTCTTCATCGGGAAAAATTCCGTGTCTACTTAAGTGTGTCCTTAATATTCTTTTCATGTTACCTTCCTGAGAGATCCGAATTTCTTTGTGATATTCTCTGCACTTTACCAGTAAATGTTAAATTCTAATCGATCGAAATAATCCCACAACTCCCTGCTTTTTGGCCGTTTCCCCTGAGTTTTATTAAAATCGAAATAGTATTACAGTTAAGAAATATAAAAAACTGATTTAGTAGTATCAAAGTAAATTTTTGAGCCTTTCGATATTTTGTATTAATATTTGCCATTTTGAGTAAATAAAGTTAATTTATTATTAGTTAGAATAAAACTTTTTAAAGAATAAAACGTATTATTTTAATAAAACGTATTATTAGTTAGAATAAAACTTTTTGCAAGTGTATAATATACTATTTTAAATAATAAATGCAATTTTTATTCATAAAAAGATTTTGAAATAAAAAGCATATAAACAATCAAGATAAGGTTGACCCATAATTAAGACTAGCGTGGCAATCGGACACAGTCTGTTCAGTCTGCATAGTTAATATAGTCTGTCACAGTTCTAGCACGAGTTAATATCCGTACACATTCGAAGAAAGCGCAGTGGAAGTATCATAACATTTGCCTTACCCTTATACTAATTAAATCTTTCGTGTATTTTTTGTATGCTCTGTTAAAAATTTATATGTGAATTTGATGCCGCAAATGTGAACGGTAACAGAGAAGACGATGAGACCTGTATCAAGTATCAAATTTGTATCTATTACACATATATTTGTTACCCTGAGCTTTACTCACCAGTACCAAGGCAAAATGACCACGTTGCTGCATGTTCATATTTTGGTTACTACAAAACAAGATATAGGTACGATTAACAGCAAATCGTGGCAGGCATTAACACGTAAAAGAAGGTTGCTTCTATTATATTTGTACAGGCAGTCAATAACAATTAGTACGGATCTTTATCACTTCTAAACTCTTTTGATAAGTAGCATATATTTTGGTCACAATTTTAGCATAACTCGATATAATTTTAGACATTTTAGCATAACTTAATTTCAAACTCTTCTTAAACATGTAAATAATTCTTAAATAAACAAATTGTTCATTATTTCAATAATACACATTAACGATAAGACTTTTGCCATTTTAAATTAATATAATTATTTGTTAGCAAATTTACATGCATTAAATGAACGTAAATGGGTACTTAAAATGTCACAAAATTATTCATGACAACCATTTATTGATTATTATTTATGCTAATTACAATCAGAATTTGCAATATTTTCATTGAAATTTCTTTAAGTTTCTCACTCAATTTATGCCGAATCCAGAAAAACTTACATAACATCGAATGGAAATAAAAATGTACGACTCCCAATCAATATAGTATATACATATACACATATAATTATTTATGCTAAATTTTCGCATTTGTATATTTATGAAATAATTAAAGAAAGGACATGAATAAAACATTATGGGCTATAGAAATATTAGAGCCTGAAGCAATTTATTATTTTATAACAAGATATGCAACAAACATAGAGGTACATGACAACATAAATTCCGCATACTGCGTGATGGAAATTAGTAAGTTATAATTCCTCAACAAGAAATTCATTATGTGCAATACCACTATTATTGTAATATCGCGTTACTTATATTAGAAAAAATATATAACAATTAGTAGAAATTAAACGTGAAGTAAAATGTTTTGGATCATGATTACTTAAAAGTGTCTCAACAGGATCAGAATTAAATTTTATCTCGTTGAGCGGAACCAATGGCCACAAAAATGGTCACCTTTCAACGTCAATCAATTCTGCATCTCGTTGGAAGACGAAAATAAAACGATTTAGACAATGATTAAGAACGTAATTGTATCTACGATAACAATTACCGCTTAACATCCAGAGAAAAATATAATTCCTATCTATGTCACGAGATACGCTAGATATTTTTATACACTATTCAATCTTAACTTACACGCCATCTATTCCTCGTTTACATTTTATTTCTCGGAGTCGAGGACGTGAAATTACTTTGTCGTAATTGCGCCGATATGTGTCCATAAATTAAAGTAGAACAAATCCTGCACGAGATTTATAAATATACAGAGTGTTCCATAAAATATTAATAGTAGAAGTACATTGTTCCATGAATCCTAAATCAATTTTTCCTTAACGATAAAATTACTTTATGTACGTGATTTATTTCAAGTACCTGCTTATATTCAACATTTATAAACTTAAATATTTTTTTGTAAACTTAATTTTGAGCATGCATTAAATTCTTGTCTCGTTGTTAATTTAAAAACAATATTCTTTTTACAGATATTTTACTTTAACTTTTAAATGTTTAACATATTTGATGTTAAAAATCCCAAAATTACTATCAATTTTTATTTGAATCTTCTTGTTAAGGAATAATTGTTTCTACAAATTCATTCAAAAATGTATCATTACTATGATTGGTATTCTTTACATTCTGTATGAATCAACAATAATACTGATATAGGCATCTTTCGAAAGATTTCGCTGACATGTACAATTGTAATCGGCGGAAGATATCTTCGAGTTATTCAATCTTACTAATTACACATCGTCAGTATAACGTGTCGTTTGCAACACAGGTCGGAAGACCCAAATCGTAAATGCACATAAATCAAAAATTTTTTGTAGCTATATTAAAATGCAACCTAAAAACAGATAGGTACTCGTGTTTCAATTATTAACAAGCTTCTTTGTATCTAATTAATGCACACAGTCTTTGTTTAAAAAATAAACAAAATTTAATAGTATTATATTTAAATATATCTATTTTTAAGCATGATTTTTTTAAATAACAGTTTAATTAATATTTTTAGAAATTTAGACACATTTTTTATAAATATAACTTTAAGCATGTTAAACTCTTGTCTCATTAACAACAATTTTTTTTACAAAAAATTTAATTTAATGCGTAATATATATTAGATACTTAAACATAATTTAGATTTTATTTAACATAATGTAGATTAAATTCTTTGAGTGATTTGATTGATTAATTTACGTATCATATATTTGATATGGAAAATCGTCAATTAAACAATATTTCTTTTTTATATATAAAATTTCTCAAAATATATCTTGGCCATAGATAAGAAGTATAGAATAAAAATTTTAGATAATTTACTTTTCTCACAGGAGAGTTATTCATGGAATCGCAACAAGAGTTTCGCGAAATACCGTTTATGAAACACTGTCGTAGAACTCTTCTTCCATACATTATGTTCATTGTGCACACTTGAGTTTACGCTCTCAACCGCGATTGTATCTGCGACATGCGGCTTGCGACCTGCGTCCAACGCACGCAATTCTGAATCTTGTAATATAGCGGCAAAATATAAATGATAGGATATATATAACGAACTACGTTGACTAGACCAAGATCTTATGACATTAGAGCTTATGACATGTAAAAATAATTATAACAACGTAGCCTTAATTAACGGATTGATAAATCAACAGACGACAGCATACTTGCACCCATCATCATAACTGATAAACGCGTCTTCTTCTCTTTTTTTCTCGTTCTTAGATTTAGCTACATCGGTTAAATTATTTGGAGGAGACGTTTCGTAACAGTTTCGTTACCGTTTCTAAGAGCTGCTGTATTATTGTGAATCTGAAACACAAAGCAGAAAATATGGTGTTTACGATACCTTCGACATATTTGGGGAATCGACGCATTCTATCGTCAATTGTTTAGTATAATTATACGAAGAGCTAAGGACAAAACTTTATCTAAAAAACAACTCTTATTGCTGTACCTATAATATAATAGAGTAACTTACTCCTAATTTTATACTTGAAGTGTGTGAAAAAGAGTTTTTAAATTATTTATTTACTTAACATTTCTCATTTAAAATAAAAACTTTTTATACACCTACATATACTTATATGTATACTTAATGCATATAAATAGGACATATTTATATTATACATATGTGACGATGATATATATACAAAGTGTCCTGTTTAACTCTTACATCTTAAATAATTTCATTGCTTTTACAAATATGAAAAAGTGATTAAGGAAGAAGTTGTATAGTTTTAAGGGAAATATGCAAAAAGTTAACTACTTTTTTATATTTGTAAAAGTAATGGAGATATTTGAAGTAAGAGTTAAATAGAACACCTTATATAATGCCATGACACCAATAAGAAATTATGTGCAATTATAAATTGCTTGAAAGAATATTTAAAGTGTATTTTTTTTTAGAAAATTTACTGTTTGATCCTTTGTTACTATTTTTTTCTCAATAAAAATTAAAATAAAGTAGCTAAAACAATAAAGAAATAATGCGATTCAAGATTGATTAAATATTTATGCATTTCAATAAACCAGTTGTAATTGAATTATGCGTAGATAACTCAGTCAAACTGTCATCCCAAAGTTAGAATTTTATCGCTATTTCGTGCAATCGTCTATACACAATATGGTAAGCAACTTTTCGATGACAATATGCCGCGGAGAAACTTTTAAAGCAGACCCTTGCGTCGCTATTGTCTCGTAGTTGCGAGGAAGATAATCCTTAGCTTTGTTTTAAATGTCACTTGGCACCCGTATGCAAGGAAAAAAAAATATTTTCATAGCATTAATAGTGCGGAATAATTCGTAAACGGGTGATTATAAGTGTTAATCATAGAATATAGATGAAGTATAGAATTCAGAAGCGTAGATAAATTTTATTACGACAAGAGAGTAAAATATATTAATGTATATTACAAGTATACTGACAATGAGTACACTTAAATGCTCGATGTGTCGCATGCAAAATAAATAGATAAATAGTATATTGTACAACTAGTGGGAAAAGTGGTCGATTCTGAATGTTCGCTCGTGCGACCATCACACTCATTTGGGCTCGACCACTCTTCCCACGAGTTGTTCATACTATTTTTCCTAACAAGAGTGTGAAACAGGCCGTTTTTCGCGCTTGTTTTACAATTTCATTTCTCCACTAGTTGAGAAATGACTCCATTTTTCAACTAGTGGAGAAATGGATCGTTTTGCTCACTCAAAACAAGCGCGAAAAGCGGCCCATTTCACGCTCGCGTTAGGAAAAGAATATATGATATTTTGCATATCAAAAATTTCTGCGAATGACATGTCGCATTTATGATAGTTGTATAGAAGATACTTTGATGAACACTTTTACGAAAAAAGATAATTTTTTAACTTAATTTCTTTTTTATTTAATTAATTATTTTTCTCTGCAAACAAATTCTAATAACTAGCTTGACACTTGATAAATACTAAAAGCATAATCTTTCAGCCATTAGGTACCCATGAAAAATGAATAAAGCAAAAAAGAGAATCTCGCGACATAAATGTTTGCTACTAATTGGTTATCAGCTGATCGAATTACCTAATGTTGCCGGCGAATCCCCATCCACGCCGATCCTCTCGGTGTTATCAAACACCCTTACGAACGGGCTGTTGTCCTCGTACGGGGCTCTCGCCCACTTTTTGCCTCTCACCCCCACAAACATTCCCCGTAACTCCCATCGTGGATTTTTCTTACCGCGCATATCAAAATATCGGAAGGGCGATCGCTTTTCAACTTGGCACGAGGCTAGAGCATGTCTCTTATCGTTCATTCCTGCACGGGGGAAACACAACGTGGACCAGTGTGACAATTTCGAGCTAAAAATCGCACGGCGTACGCGGACGGAGAAAAAGGAAGAGAACAAAAAGAAAATTGTCCGTCTCACTACAGAGTTTATTCGGAGATGCATGGATAATAAGACAAATATTTGGGAAGCCTTCGTTATACGCGTTCCTTCCACTTACAAGGACTCGATCGATTGTATCGTCTAGTGGCGTTACAAGGGACATTCGGAAAGCATTTAGCTATTTCACAAAATACTCTGGAGTGCGCGATAAAAACGAAAGAAAATATTTCTCATCAAGTTACAGCACAGTTAATTAAATATATATCGACTGCAATAAAAACTATTCAGGCACGCGAATAATTTTTATTTTTTTTCGTTTTCGTGCAACCGCATCTCCAGAGGTTTTCGAAATTCCTTATATAAAAGAAATAACTTTCATTAAGTTGCTGCATTAACCACTTTTAATATTAAAATTTATACTAAAAATAATACAAGTTTCAATGTATTATAATGTTATATAGCAAGCTTTATGAAACTAGACTCACATGAGTTCAAAGTAAATGGTTCTCGATTAATTACTCTTTAAATTATTGATAAAATATATTTATCTTATAATTAAATTATTTTATAAGACCATTAATAATTGTAACGTGAGGAATATTTTACAAAGACCAATATTAATAACAAATATCAATTGTCATAATATTTTAAATGCTTCTCCTTTATTTAATTATTATAGGTCACATATAAGCAGCACGGACTCTACCTTGATATTCGTTTAATGATTGAGTTCCATGCCGGTCAAAATCCATTCCGGTCTGAAATCTTTGTCCTACACTCCTCTTGCCTCTCATACCTTGAAAACCCATCGATGCCCTCTTATCGGTGTCTTTCTTGCCTCTCATCCCTTGAAAACCCATTGGCGCTCTCTTGTCGAAATCCATGTCAGGATCTATGTAATCTACATAATTTTCAAAGGCGTCCTTTTTGCCTCTCATACCCTGAAACAATCATTAATTAAACAGTTAATAACATTTCCAAAACTTTATTTTTTATTTTTTACCAATGTTTTTTATCAATTGGTTTACTATACTAAACTATTACATTCTTTCATAATAACCACAGCACAAAGTTATTACACTTCGCATAGAATATGTTTTCTTTTAGGAAAATCTATTAGATATGATGTTTCCATAATTAAGCAACTAATTAACTTACCTGAAAACCCATATAGGCTCGTTTCTCAAGTTCTTCTATCTTGTCGAGCAATGCTTTCTTGCCTCTCATTCCCTGAAATCCCATGGGAGCTCTTTTCTCCCACTCTGCCGGAAATTCTTTCAGCTTATCGCGCATATCTTGAAATCCCATCGCAAGAAGTCTCTTTTCATAATCTTGTGGATACTCAAAAACGTATGTTTTTTTGCCTCTAGTACCGTAAAAGCCCATCGCGGCCCTCTTTTCAATTTCGCTCAATACCTGCAAATTGCCATTTCTTAATAAAATAGAATATAAACGACAATGATAGCGTTTTAGGAAAATTAAAGTCTGCCAATTAAGAGGCACGCAACTATTTAAAATGCTTGGACGACCAAGAATCTTTTCGCGGTGCTTACATAAACTGACAAAGTGGATCAAAGAAAGAGTGAACTAATAGTCTGTTTGTAGCATCCACTTTGTAAACAACCTCATGTTTAAGAAGAATCTTATAAGTTGCAACTTATAGACTTATCTACATGTAGATGTTGATCTATTATCGCCCTAAGAGCTCTTCCAACATAATAATTTTATTCGAATGTTTAAGCTTACCTCTTCCAAAGATTTTTTCCCTCTCATTCCTTGAAATCCCATGGGTGCACGTTTATAGTATTCGTCCTCGAATGCCTTTTTGCCTCTCATACCCTGAAAACCCATTGGCGCTCTTTTCTCGTAGTCCTCACGGAAGTAGGAATCTTCAAAATCAGGTATCAAATAATCCTTCTTCCCCCTCATACCCTGAAATCCCATCAGTGCTCGTTTGTCAAACTCCTCGTGCAAGAGATTGTCCTCAATGTCGGGCGCACTCGAGTCCTTACCCTGTAATCATTGAACGAAATCTCTCTCATAAATAATTCAAAAGATAAAAACTAGACAACTAGACAAATTTAGACCTTTCTTCTTCTTTATGTCGATTTTAATAAAAAAGTTTAATAGACCAGTAACTTACCTGAAAATCCACTAACGTTCTTTTAGACAGCTCACTGTGTTCCGCGACCGTGGGAATGAGGTCCTTCTTTCCGCGCATACCCTGAAACCCCATGGGCGCCCGTTTGGAGGAAGCGGCATCACTCGAGGACGATTCTTCTGCAAATGACGAACTAGTCCAGACTGCCACGAAGAGGACCGAGCTGATAAGCATTCTAAAACATATCGAAGATAAATAGTCAGTATCTATAAAATAGTATATTCATCAATACAATCATCTCTCTTCGATACTTATATCCTTCAATGTGGATGCCTATCGAATTTCCGCGTTATAGGACATGCGCCGAATGTTGCACTATTCTCGTTGTTGTATCTTGACATGTACGCGAAAATCAATCTATATCACGCTGAACTAATTTATCGACGTGTCACGTAACCACATTTGATTGTTCATCAGGAACCTAGCCGGGACTAACGATCCGTCGGATACAGCCCTCAGATACTCAAATGACACTAATTCAAATTGCATACTTGTTACATATTAGTGTTTGAAGCACAATTAATACAAGAAAGAACGAATAAACAGTCATTTAAAAAGTCATTTATTTATTAATTGTATTGTAGAAAAAGTTATTTTTTTAGTTATTAATTCTTGCAAAAAAAAAATTAGATTTCAAATAAGTATAACTAAATTTGCATCCGTCACAATAAATCTAACGTATAAGTACAATGCGCGTATAAATAGAAATATTTTGCCGCTATGCTAGAGAAGAGAAAGCACGAGGAACTTAAAGCATGCTTTTCACATGATACATATGTTACACGCAAGAATTTATCACATAAGAAAATTATATTGCGAGAAAATATTTACGCGACACGGAACGTGTAAAATAAAAGTGGATATCGGAAATACAGGAAGGGGCAAAATCGCTTTCGCGCGCGATATCAAAAGAAAATATACCCGCATGTCGGGGAAACATTTCAAGAAATGTATAGGTATGGCACGAATATTAAAAGGAACGATAAATCGGGAGTGAATCGACTTACGAGGGAGCGCCTGATTAATTTAGAAAAAAATGCACGCCGTGTGGAAATAATCGTATACTTTTAACATATTTAACTTGCGCCAAACGTATAAATACAACGGTAAAAAAAAACGGCTCGTGTAATTCCATTCTTGCCGCGCTTCTCGACAGATTATTTAATTTTATAAGGTTTAAAAGTGCCGCTACCCTTCAAAGCGGAGACTATAATTAGCGAAGGATAGGATAAAGGCTTGCTTTTCTCAAAGCATCTCGTGCCATGGCGAGACTAAAGAATATCAATATAAGCGGCTATCGAGAAATGGGAAAGTACGTTCTCGCTGTAAATCAAGAACATGTTTTAAATTCTCGTGTTTAAATAATAAAACTGCATGTGTAGATTTATTGGTGTTTTCTTAGGGCCGATTGGAAACATATAAATTTAAATACATTTATTGACTACAATGTGCTACATTAAATATTATATCTTAATTATATGAACTTTTCTTTTATTAAATAATCTGTATGCAAATTGTTCTATCTTATCCATATCTAATGTATAACTTTATTTCCTTTTACAGCATAGTGGAATAACTTTTCTTAATATGCATATGAGATAGAAGCATCTTTGCGGTTACAATTACCACCGTCGCCATTAAGATTGAAAATAAAATATTTCATATAGGGAAGAGTGGATTACTATTGTATATTAGAGTAGTGATATTCTCTCCCTTCTCGCACCCAACGATAGTCCGATATACGCTCAGTGGTATATACCTACTACACAATAGTATCATTCGCGTTTACCCCGTGTTTGCAATTACTCCACTCTCCTTTATAAGTGATATTCTGAAATTCAAAATCTAATAACCATCGAATTTTGCACTTTATATATCTCATTGAAGTTTTTACATTATATTTCTAATCTCTTTTCTGATTAAATAAATTAAACATAAAAAATGTTTTTAGTATGTATCAATTAGTTCTTAAAAATTAACATAGTTAAGTAATTATTTTTTATTATAAATATTTTTTATTGTTAGTTAAGTAAGCATACTTAATTAATCGTGTAAATATTTTTTATTTTTTAATTGTGCTAAAATAAAAAGTCTTAAAATGTAATTGATTTTGTTTAACAGATTTATTGCAATATAATTTTTATTAATATTTTCGATGTCTTAAAATTGTTTCTTCTGCATAGAAATATTAAAAAAGAGTTGATTAAAAATATGTGATTTATATGATATACAACAGCCCTATGTATATATGCATGTAAAACTTCGTAAAAGCTATCGACTGGAAGAGCGACGTTGCTTCGTTATTATTTTTCATTTTTTAAAGCATATTATTTCGCCGTCATATTGACACGCTGATCGATTTCAGTTTAATAAATTTCCATTCAGTGCGATCCAATATTCATGCGTAAACACGTGACATTACCATATTGTATGTCATAGACATGCAAATAAATATTTAACACAATTAATATAAAAGTTTAATAATTTCTTTTATATTTATAGAGATACTCATAATTCGAAAACTTGCGATCAGAGAGACTCGTTTCTTTTCCATTGGAATCGCGTAATTACATTAACTATTTCATTTGATTCTTAAATATTTCAGTAAAAATGTGTCTTAATATTTATATATTATTCTTTGTTTATCTTCTTTGCTGTAGTCCATCGTTTTAAGTCATGCTCTTTTCTTCTTTTTGGTTTTAGTTTTGTATTATTATATATAACAAATAGTACATATAATGAATCACATAATATATATGTATGTATATCAGCCTCTTATAGTGAACTGTTGCAATCGGATGTAAATTTGCGCGAGTAAATATAGAGTAGGCGTAAACTCTAAGGTCCTAAACACGCATACTTTTGTCCCATGGGCTAGCCAATTTGCTTACGTAAATATATGCAACCGTATCATTGATTAATGTTAATACGTTAATGATATGTATGAATTCCAATTGCTGCACGGCTAGATTCTATATGCATTCGCGATATTTTGCAGCACATTATGCAATAACTATACCAACGATAAATTTCGTATAAACACACGCCGTGTTATAAACTTTAACTTTTCTAATTAATGGAACCACGCACTATTACTTCAGAACTGTAATAAATATCAAAGCGCGCTCATTGACATGCTTTAGCTATAATGATATTCCGATAAAAAGAAATAGAAAAAGCGATATATCCACAGATCTCAATCGCGTCTTACAATTAGAATCATGTCGCAGGACACCCCGACAACGTGGGACGTGTTAATGCGCGCACCATTGTAAACTGCCGAGGTCAGCCTCTTCGTCGCGCGCAAAGTAAACGGAGCGAGAATTCTAGCTCGGCGAAGGGGCACGAGAAGCCGGGAACGTGCCATGTCGGGCAGAGAAGATGAGAAAAGGAGCAACATGATAAGAGAGGAGAAAGGGGGTTGGAGAGCAGCGAATACGTGAGAGACTGCGGCGGCTGCTGGGATGGTGAGCCTCACCACCGATCGGTCACTCGTGTAATCGTTCTAAGCAAGCATGTCCTACGCGATTTACTCCCTTAAAGTCGGCGCGATCAAGAGCCTGAACGTTCCCGCTTTTGTGCAACACGTTGAATTGCGCGATTTGTGGAAATTCCGATTTCCGCATCAAAGATCATCAACGATAAAATCGTACTACGAATAACGTTATACATCACGTAGCAAACTAACTGTATTTTGTGCAATTAACTGTTTTCCCTACAAATTAAATACTATGTAAATGATATGCAAAAATGAGGCTACCAAATAGTAATTTTAGGAAAACCAATTTTAAAGAATATTAATTCCTAAAACTTATATATGTCATAATTATCGATTGATATAGAATGATATACTAATTATACCAATCCACAAAAAAAAGTACAAAATATTATTATTTGCAATTACATATTTTAATTAATTCCAGCACTATAAGTAACGACATTCAATGATTAACGTTAGCATGTTTAAAAAAAATTTTTTTTTAGCAAAACGAGCGAAATGTCAAGTGTGTTTACTTTAAAATTCTACTGACCTTTAAAACCCGGCGAACATTGACGTTTGTATCATGTATAGTGCAGAAAGACTTAGCATACATCGATTAATATGTATAGTCTATAATGTATGTACGCATATATGAAACACAAGGGCGCTTTACTTGAACGATGAACTTTCATGAAAAAGAGAGATCGGTAGAAAAGCTAAGATACATCTAAACAATGCACGAGAAAAAATCGCAACGAAGGAAAATCACAGATAGAAGAGTCTCTCCATTGTTTCTGGCGAGCGTATATTTATGTCTTCAAAGTAGCGTGGCGTAGTATGTATATAATGTAAAACATGCATACTGAGATTTGCCTAGAAACCCGCATTGTGAATCGCGTGTTCTAGTTTTCTAGCTGTGCAAGAACCCTGATTCGTATCAAAAATTATAAACATGTCTTAATAAACCAGACGTGCCAGTGTAACTTTTTATTTCAAACTGACACATTCCATTTTATGTAAGAAATATATAATTCAGAGAAATTAATAATAAAAGTTTATAATGAAAAATATGTAGTAATAATAATACTCTCTTATTTTACTAATAAATTAGTAAAATTATAATAAAGCATTTTGTTATAAGTATTTTAATTTGTACATTTATATATTATAAGAATTATGGAAATATGATATATAATGACGTAAAAATAATGTGATATAAAATTATGTACGTCATTAAATAAATCTCTTTTATACATATAAAGTAGACATCTTGTTCTTTGTTCACCTATGCACATGGCTAGGACTTCGGTCATTGCACATGTGAAGGTATAAATAAAGGACAATTACTTTATACTGTAGCGAAGTTTTTTTTTAATCAAATAGCCGTTCCTCGTTAGTTTTGAATTTAATATATTATAGGTATTACGGGTATTACAACGTGTATTAAAAATTAACCTTATTTTTTGGTTCGTGTTACTACTCCACTTTCTCTGAATTTGTATACACAATTGAGTTAAAAATAATATTTGCGTCATCACAAATTCAATTTTCTCTAAATTAAAAGAAAATTTTTTTAATTGACAATCTCTGCTTCAGTCGCTAGCGTTCATAAAATATTCATTATTAAGCATCTTCTCTAATTTACCAAAGATTTCAATTTTTATGTAAATCAGACAATCATCGTGAACGCAATT